CGAACTTCGCGAATGACGGACATGAACTGCACCAGTGTCGTAATGTGCACAAGAAATTCATCGCATGCTGGCAGATCTGACACCGCTGAGGGGCAATGCGACCACTCGCATGCTTACGACAGTGGATGTAATTCTGCATGGGACGATGTTGCGAACATAAAAATCAAACAGAAATGAGAGTAGAAAGCGTGCAATCTTCTCTGAGTTTACGTCACCTATAAACAGCATAGAGCAATCATGTCCGCCGAGGTCTGGAGGGTCGTCAGTTGCTATCACTTGACTACAACATAATATGAATAAAAAGAACAAGATTAGCTCCTAATTCTTATTGTGAAAACTCGCACGAAAAGCCTTAGTTTACCGAGAAATGCACGCCACCAGGGCGTTGCACTCTCTAGGGTTTAGGGTTCAGGGTTTCGGGTTTAGGGTTACGGGGTTTCGGGTTTAGGGTTGCGGTTTTGGTTTAGGGTTTAGGGATTAGGGTTTAGGGTTTAGGGTTTAGGGTTTAGGGTTTAGGGTTTAGGGTTTAGGGTTTGGGGTTTTGGGGGATTTGGGTTAAGGGTTCAGGGTTTCGGGTCTTGGGTTTAGAGTTTAGGGTTTAGGCTTTTGGGGGATTTGGGTTTAGGGTTTAGGGTTTCGTGTTTAGGGTTTAGGGTTCTCGGGTTTAGGGTTTCGGTTTTGGTTTAGGGTTTCGGGTTCAGGGTTTAGGATTTTCGGGTTTAGGGTTTCGGTTTTGGTTTAGGGTTTAGGGTTTAGGGTTTAGGGTTTAGGGTTTAGGGTTTTGAGGGATTTGGGTTTAGGGTTTAGGGTTGGGGTCTTGGGTTTAGGGTTTAGGGTTTAGGGTTTTGGGGGATTTGGGTTTAGGGTTGTTGGTAGCAAGGGTCTCTAAGAGACCGTCCCTACGGTCTCACGGCACTCCTGTGCACTTTTCCTGCAGGCCATGAAAGTGCTTTCGGTAAACAGCGGATGCGTGTGATCGCAAACACTCCTTCTAAACTCTAAAACTGTTTTGTACACCTTGGCCGATGGTGCACAGGAGAGCATAGACCCGGAGTGGTAGCGGAGCATCCTGGTCGTAGTCATAGATCACGACCTTGTCGAAGAACCGCTCTTAAAGGAACGTGTCTCGGAGGTGCCGGGGATCACGGGCGTTCCAGCGCACAGCATAGGCAGATCGTTAGCCAGCTGGCGTCGCTTCAGGTAAGAGGCCACGTCCTTGCACTGGCCGGTGGCGGTGACCTGGTGACCAATCAACCACTTCTTGTAGCTGAGGGCCTCCTTGGTGAGGTCGTTGGCGAGGTCCATGTAGGGCAAGTCCTTGTCCTTGTACTTGCCGAACTTGATCACGGTGTCGCCCCACTGTGCCATGTTGGCGATGCCCTCGGGGAAGCGAAGCGAGGCATCGGCCTGTGGGTGGTTGTTCTGCGGAGTAGGAGGCATACACGACAACGGCGTAGGAGGCATAGACGACAATGCCGGGAAGGAGATGCGGCCGGAACGGGGCCATTCACTGGCTGTGGAGGCGGAGGTCCGTTGCGCGGACTGTTGCCGGTGATGTCGTTCAGGCCAAGCCAGCTTTCATCATCATCGGATTCGACATCACGGAGGCGCTTGCATCCATGAGACATTCCAGCAGAAAAGCCTTGATTCGCGGCGGCGCGGTTGCGCTCCTGGTAGTCGCGGAAGAGCTCCTCGACAGTCTCCCATGTGCCCGCGGCCTGAAAGTCGCGGCGGAGGGCACGAAACTCTTGAGTTGCCTCCGTGTACATGTCATTGAAGTCGCCGGTCATGATCGAGCGGGCGAGGATGCGAACTCCTTCACGGCGTTCTTCTCCATGGATTCCTTGGCCCACCCAGGCGAGCTCAGGATGAAGATCAGCCATCGGGGTGTTCTTGGCATTCTTGGCGGACTTGCGAGACATGGTGAGTCACACTCACAAGCAAGGCTTGCCCGGGCAGCTCAGAGCTCGAAATCGGCTCGAGCACGGCACTCAACACTTTGCAGTTCTTCGGATGCTTCTGCTCACAACGAGCATGCACACAGGCTATAATTCGGTTTGCACTATACAACACACACGCAAGATTTCAGGTGAAGGCGGGAAGGCGCAGGCTGCTACGGTAGAACCCCACTACGGGAAACCATTAACAACTGGGCTCGCA